CCAGCCAATATGGGTCTTGGCCGAAATTCCACATTTTAATCAATCAAAGATTATTTTTAGGAATTGTCTTTTGTGCTGTATGCTTTACTTGTTTGCCAGTTAGTTTCTATGATTTGGCTTCAAAAAAAGTCTTGTTACTACGTCAGGGGCTGGGGTGTGAGAACCCACCCAGCCTGAGTAAGGCTGGCTCCTGTCTGTGCCCGAGCAATATGGGTCTTGGCCGAAATTCCACATTTTAATCAATCAAAGATTATTTTTAGGAATTGTCTTTTGTGCTGTATGCTTTACTTGTTTGCCAGTTAGTTTCTATGATTTGGCTTCAAAAAAAGTCTTGTTACTACGTCAGGGGCTGGGGTGTGAGAACCCACCCAGCCTGAGTAAGGCTGGCTCCTGTCTGTGCCCGAGCAGCAGCCCGTCCTCGGGCAGGCTTTGTCCTGCTCATGCACTTACCTGGGCTGGGATTTGTTCTTCCTCCCCGGCCACCATCCCAACGAGGAGAACATCATCCAGGTACAGCACCCCAGGGGAGCCCGTTGACACAGAGCTGCAGTGACCAGCCTGCATGAGCCCAGCCAGGGATACCCACAGAATCATCAATGCTGGAACAGGCCTCTAGGATCAAGTCCAGCACTACAATGACCATTAAACCGTGTCCCCAAGTTCCACATCCACACATTTTTTGAACCCCTCCAGGGATGGTGAGCGCACCACCTCCTTGGGCAGCCTGGTCCAATGCCTCACCACTCCTTCAGTAAAGAAATTCTCCCAGACAGCCAACCTAAACCTCCCCTGATGCAACTTGAGCCCATGAGGCAGGGAGGCACAGCACAGCTCACCCCATAGGGCCCTTGCAGCAGCCAGCACCCATCTCCTTACCCTCCTGTGCCAAGAGCATCATGGCCAAGCCCAGTGCAAACGTGTGACCTGCCACCACCCGCCCTGCCCCCCTCTTACCATCCCCCCAGAGGGGCTTTTTGGTGCATGCCAAAACCCACCAAAACTGGCTTACCACCGGTGTAAACTCGGGGCCCCAGTGCAGACTTTAGTGATAATTCTGCCATCTCCTCACCCTCCTGTGCCAGGAGCATTATGGCCAAGCCCAGGGCAAACGTGTGACCTGCCACCACCCACCCTGCCCCCTCTTACCACCCCCCCGGAGGGGCTTTTTGGTGCATGCCAAAACCCACCAAAACTGGCTTACCACCGGTGTAAACTCGGGGCCCCACCGCAGACTTTAGTGATAATTCTGAGCCATTTCAATCGAGCCTTTCCACCAAGCTCATCCCTGCACCGTTTGGGCTGCTACAGCTTCTGGCTCCTAACCCAGGAGCCACAGCAGCGGTTTGCTGTGCCCACCAGCAGCCCCTGAGAGCCCTCAGGAGCCATCCGTGCATCCCCGGGAGCACTTGTGCCTCCTCTCCCTCTGGGCCCTCAGCATTTCCATCCTCCTGCTCCTTCAGCTGCTGGGGCAGGAAGACCAGAAGCAGGCAGAGCTGCACATCCTTGCACAAGCACAGCTGTAAAATCACACAAGCCCGTGCTTTTACCAGAGAAACGTGAGGCTAATTAGTAAAGCCACACTGGCTGCCACACAGGAATGCTTGCTGAGCACCTGTAGGTATAAACAGGAATATAACCTTCCACCAATACAGCTCAAAGCAGAAACAAATGGATTGTTGTCTTGCACAACCTGGAAGGCTTCCCGTGCTGTTGGAGGGCAGCAGGCTGTAATTCCACCGGCCCCTTCCCCGACCAGCAAACCCCTCCCCGTGGTACAGGCAGGTGCCACTGAGTTAGGAAAACTCGCTTTATTCCAGCCTCCCCGCTCAGCCCCCGGGCTGCTCTGCACAACATTTCCCCTGCAGGAGTTCTCACAACTCAGCCACTGGTGTCAGCTATTTACTCCCCCCTCAACCGTTACTTTTTTGGCACGACTCTCACGATGACCTCACTCACTTTCCATGCAGGACAATTTGGGAAATGGGATTATTGGAGGCTTTGCTTTTCCTTCGCAGCGACAGGGGCGCTGGGCCTGTGGCACGGGGCAGGGGTGGCAGAGGAAGGCTCTGTTCACGGCCGGACTCCTCCTCCAGCTCCTCCTCCACCTCCTCGGTGGCCACCGCAGGCCCCGCCGGGCCGGGTCAGAGCCGCAGCTGGCGAGTCTTCTGGTAGGTCCCCAGGAAGATGAAGCCCCCCAGGCTGATGGCCGCCATCCGCGGGACCACACCTGCGAACAAGCTGCAGGGGAAGGAGAGGCGGCTTCAGAGGGCGAGCAGAGCCGCACGCACACAAGGGAAAGTCTCTCTCGCCCTCCTCCTAAATCCCACCCCGCTGCTCACTGAAGGAACCTGTCTTGGACTCCCTAACAGAGTCCTCCCAAGCCCTCTGATTTTTAACCCCTCTCCAGGCTCCTCGGGTGCAGAGGCAAAGATGCAGGAGGCTTGGACCACGCTGTAGGAAGAGGAGCTCAGACACATCCCCGCGGAGGGAACCGCCCCATCCTCCACCACCCCCTCCAGCCTGGCAAGAGGGACACCCGACTCCGCCACGCGCT